CAAATTTTACACATAACCTGGATCCAGTGATAACGCAAAAAGTACTGAAAATATTTTTATGAAACTTGACATATGGGTAGATGACAGTCTTGAAATTATGCACATCCTTTTCTTATCTTCCTATGTTGAAAATTGGCAACAAATAGACTGAATTTCAAGATTTCTGATTCTAGTTTTTAAGTTTTTTCACTATAAGTTCTTTATTTCTTAAGGTATTTTCTTCAAACTTTAAATATAAGTTGCTAGTCATCAACCACATCATATGTGACAAGGTTTACAATTCTAGCACAAAATTTATCAGAATTACCTCCCTTGAACTTAAAATTTTCATGAAAAAAATATTGTTTTTTTTTTAATAACTTCTTTTTTTCTGAATGTATCTACTTCAAACTTCATATAAATGTTTCTTATTATCACTCAACATTTGTGAGAAAGTTCAATACTCTAGCAAGACTATTTCCAGAATTATGCCCCTTTTGAACTTAGACTATTTTTCGAGAAATTGGTAATTTTTACTCCAAGTTCCAACTTCTTCAATCATGATAGGATTTTCTTCAAACTCCCACATCATAATAATATGACAAGGTTTATAAATCTAGCATCCATATTTCCAGAACTATCTCCTCCTTAAACTTTTAATTTTTCCTATTCATTCTTTTACTTTTCACTTACTTCAAATTCAAAATAAACATTCATTATTCATACCTTCATTACTAATTGTTCTTCGTTACACTCACATTATGTATGACATCTTGCATCTTTATTTAAGAGTTATCTCCTTTTTAAAAATTTTGCTTTTAAAAATGTTATATTTTGATAACAGGGATGTTTAAAAAATAACTTTAGAGTGTCCTTCAGTCTGTCTGTCTGTCTGTACATAAAAACTGTTTCCTGTGATCACTTTTAAAGAACTTTTTCAACAAATTTACCTAAAATAGAAACATAAGTGAATGGCCAATGGCCCTTCAGAATGTTGCTGGGGCTCTAGCCGGTAGGGGACTTATGGATTGCTTGCAATACTATGATAATTGCTTGTTTTATTTATTTTTTGTTCTTTATGTGAATAAACAATAATCAAAGTGATTAACAGGAATTTCTACAGATATCCCTAGGATTTATTATTAATGTTTAATTGATTTTAAGAATAGTGGAATTTACATGTGTTATACTCAACCCGGTGTCTGTGTGGGGGTTGTCAGCACACTTAGGTTATTATTAGTTTTTGCTTGCAAGTTAGTATCTCCAAAACTACTGATGGGAATGCATTGAAACTTCACAAACCTGTTCTCTGTGATTGTCTAAGACAATGGGCACAGGCCACATAACTTTGAGTTACCTTTTTACATAGTAATGTCCCTTTTCTTACTATCAAGCACTTAGAATAGCCGAGGGCGTTGACTTCCGGAACGGCTTTTGTTTTAAGTATATTGCTAATTTAAAATATAAGCATTATATCTTTCAAATTCTTTATTTCCAGATTTTGCTATGGCGACTGTAAAAGATGTTAAGATGTTGAAAGTGGAGATTACTTCATTGCCTCTTCGAGGATACCATGTGTATAAGACGGAACTGTGTAAAAAAATTAGACGTGGAGACGAACTTTACCTTAAAGTAGAGCAATTGAGATATAATGGAACATCGACGTTTCCTGTGGCAGCTTTCAATGAACTTTGTGATAAGATTGGACATATACCAAGTGGTAAATCATAAATAAAATATAAAATAGTATAAAGCTGATACTGCTCGATGATAAGAGTCTGATTTCTATTGCATAGTCTTATAATGTGAGTAGTTACATGTAAAAAACCTCAAGCTGACATAAGGTATTTGGAACAGCTATATATACTGATTAGCAACCATACTCAAGACCTGCAGACAATTAAGACCATATCACTAATAAGACTATTTTTGAAAAAAGAACAGAATTTTCTTTTCTTTATTGGCCGGGTTGCATTTGTGCAAACCCGGGTAATAGTATGGCGAATCGCGGGCGGGCGGGCGGGGAAAAACTTTTCGTAACAGTTTTCTCAGCAACTACTTATCACAGCCTCTTGATATTTGGCATACAGCATTGACACATGGTCCCATACTGTGGGATTCGATTTCAGGTCTGTCCTTTATCCACTTCCTGTTTATCGACTTTGTTAAATTTTCAACATTAATGGTCAATGCGTTCTAATGAGTCTCATCAGAACACTCATTGCGAAATTACCTCATTACCCCATCCCCCGCATATATATATAATGCTTACGATTTTTACTTACTGTTCAATGAATATCAACATTATCTTTTTCTAAAATAATTCAATGATGTAAACATATATTATATTCACAAATAATACTAATTATATTTAAAAGAAACAAAAAACTTCGAAAGAAAAACATAAATCATGAATGTAGTGTAAACAGTTAGCCATTTCTGTAATGGCCTTTGATTAACTAGGGGACACTACTAAAGCTGGACTGTAAATTACTAGTGTGTCAAAAGATTTGTCAAAGCTTATAGGATAATATTTGTGTACTGTTGAAGGTTTGATTTTGATGAACTATAAATCAAGGAACTCTTGCTAATATTGAATGAAATACAAATTTTTCAGAGTTTTCCTGGTGTTTTAAGGTGATCTTAAGAGAAGATAATGGAAGAATTGATGCCAAAGTTCAAACAGAGGTACCTGTAAAACGAAAAGGGGAAGAGATCATTTGTAATTTTATCATACATGCACCAGATAATCGCAAGATTCGTAATGCACTTGATAACCTTTATAGTAGTAAGTACTAAATTGCAAGATTCGTAATGCACTTGATAACCTTTATAGTAGTAAGTACTAAATTGCAAGATTCGTAATGCACTTGATAACCTTTATAGTAGTAAGTACTAAATACTTAGTAAGTAAATTGTTTATGCTCCTATATATTTAAAATGTAGGAAACTAAAAGTTTTTGATATGACCTGACTGGAAAGTTTTGGGTTGTTTTTTTTTTTAGCTCACCAGAGCCGAAGGCTCAGGGTGAGCTATTAGTATCAAAGGGGGATGCTCCGGCGTCCGTTGTCTGTCGTCATACATCAACAATCATCTTCTTCTGTGAAACTACTAAGCAGATTTACTTCAAATTTGGTCTGTAGCATCCTTGTGACAGTCACACTGGAATTTGCTCATGTCATTCCAATTGGCCCCTTTTAGGGGTCAGCAGAGCTAAAAATAGAAATACCTTTAAACATCTTCTTTTACAGAACTAATTGATGGATGATCACCAAACTTTGTCTGTGGTATTGTTGGGTAGTCTTTTATCAAGTTTGGTCATATGAATTTGATTGGCCCCTTTTAGGGGCTGCTTAAACTAAAAATAGAAATACCTTTAAATGACTGTTTCTACAGAACTAATGGATGAATGATCACCAAACTTTGTAGCATTGTTGGGTAGTCTTTTATCAAGTTTGCTCATATTACTTTGATTGGCCCCTTCAAGGGGCCACTGAAATTAAAAATAGATATTCATTTAAACGTCTATTGCTACAGAACTAATTGATGGATGATCACCAATCTTTGTCTGTAGCATTTTTGGGCAATCTTTTATCAAGTTTGCTCACATTAATTTGATTGGCGCCTTTAAGGGGCCGCTAAAGCTAAAAGTAGAAAAACCGTTAAACATCTTCTACTTCAGAACCAATTGATGGATGATCACCAAACTTTGTCTGTAGCATTATTGGGTAGTCTTTTATCATGTTTGCTCACATTAATTTGATTAGCCCATTTTAGGGGCCTCTAAAATTAAAAATAGAAATACATTTAAACATCTTCTCCTACAGAACTAATTAATGGATAATGGCCAAACTTTTTTCTGTAGCATTTTTGGATAATCATTTATCAAGTTTGCTCACATTAATTTGATTGGCCCCTTTTAGGGGCTGCTAAAGCTAAAAATAGAAAAACCTTCAAACATCTTCTACTTCAGAACCAATCGATGGATGATCACCAAACTTTGTCTGTAGCATTCTTGGTACTCTTTTATCAAGTTTGCTTATATTAATTTGATTAGCCCATTTTAGGGGCTAAAAATAATAAAAAAAACCTTCAAACATCATTTCCTAAGGAAGTAATTGATAGATGATCACCAAACTTTGTAGCATTCTTAGGTAGTCTTTTATCAAGTTTGCTCATATTAATTTGATTAGCGTGTTTAAGCTAAAGCTTAGATGCCCCAGGTCATGGCATTTCTTCAAATTATTGTTTAAACATATTCTATGTTCAAATTTAATATTAGAATATCATTCCAACACTGAAAAGCAGTTCTTTCTGGTGAGCGACTCAGGGCCATCATGGCCCTCTTGTTTTTGTTGAGATTTCTGTACCATTGATGAAATTTGGCCAATAACTTTTGTCCATTATTTTAGATCATTTGCTCACTTTGTTTTTCCAGAATAATTATTGTATTTTTTCAAAATGACCAAAGAATTAAAAGTCAAAATTCACTTTTAACTTGATTTTGGGCTTATTATAGCACACACACACAAAATGATTTTCAATTTAATCCGACTATATTTCTTTATTATTTTATTTTCATATTTTACATTTCATTCAAATTAAGTTTTTATTTGGTTTGTTTTCAGTCCTTCAAGAATCCTACTGGAATTATTATAAACCATCCATGGTACAGTTCAAAAAGAAACGTAACAAAGAGGTAAATTTAATTTTAAGAATCGGATTAGTAAGTGCACATATAAAGATTATTTTGATCTCTTTGATTTTGAGAATCAAAAAAAAAAATAAATCCATGTCAAATTCATAAAGTACTTGAAGTAACTCTTACTATGATATCATCATTTATAATTCTTGTATGAGATATCTCTGTCACACATTACAGTAACTTTTTAAAAATTATATATATATAATCAAGGGCAGTTATCCTATTGACTGTATTAAATTTTGTATTTTACTTTTAGCATAATACGAAAATATGCATGAAGTCATAACAAAATCATTTCATTACAGGTATGTGAGAACTGGTCTTTTGAAGCTGAAGATGAGCAAGAACAAGGTGTGTTATAAATCATTACAGGAAAAAAAATTAGTACCTTCATGTCATTTGTTAGAGATTAGTATAATTGTTGGTTGGGTACATATTCGTAATCCACTGAAATATTGTTTAAAGGCACAATAGCTTAGAAAAAATGAATTTTCATTCTATAGAAATGAAAATATTAGTTTTATAGCATTGAATGAATGGTTTTAGAGCATTTTAGATGCTTGGAACCTATAACAGGATGTCAAAAATAGAAAATAGAAAGCTTTTCAAAAATAAGAATAAAAGCATTTTTGGGGCAAAATTGGCTTTTGAAGGACCCAAATACTTTATTAAAAATGATAATTGATGATGATGAAAAATAATCAAACCCTTTTGTATAGTGTGAACAAATGTTAATATAAAAAAGATATGTTTATTAATACAGTCTTACTTGTCTATATGCAATAAGATGAAATTAAAAAACTTGATGAATTTTACCGTTTGTATTTGGACTCGATCAGAACTTTTTGTATTAGGTCATTGTAAACTTTTACTCAATACTTATACAAAGTGAAACGTGTATCTTTTATTTTCTCAGATAATATTCCGGAGGAACTGAATGACATCCCTATACACGACGGCTGTTTGAGAAAGCTATTTTAGAAGGGGTAGAGCGTGACAGATCATTAAGAATTATGGTGATTGGGTGCCATGGACAAGGCAAGACATCATTGGTGAAGAAATTGTTAGAAGAGGGTGTTTCAAATGTTGGCAGCACAAATGGAATAGATGTCATCCACTTTGATGTGGAAGAGGATTTTTCTTGGAAAAGAAGAACCATTGTGGCTGATGCTGATACAGGTATTATTAAAACAATATTAGTGGTATGCTGTTTTTGTTTTATTGAAGTTTTAAAGACATAACATCGAAACATGTTACGATGTATATTCGTGAGATCATCTTATTAATTTTACACCAGTTTTGAAAGAATAAGAGTTCTAGTATTTTCACTCACATTAATAAACTGAAAGGAATTCAAATTAAATTCACAATCATGAGGTGTAAACAAAATGCAGCAACTGCCAATTATTCAGAGCGAGTCATATTTATATATTATAAAGGGATTGACTGTGATGAATGGATGGATGGTGTGCTTGAGCAAAGGCTGTATTCAAATGATCAGAGTTCAAGTGAACAAAGTTTAACAATATATTACTCATTGATAGAACATCTTTTATTTTAATATTTTTCATTGACATGCAAAAGAATTTGAGACATAATTGTCTATTTACACATTTCTGGTAAATGTTGACAAAAGCAGCATCAACTGTATTTTCTTATTTTCAGAGGCAGCAAGACGGCTTGCAGCTGTAGATTATTTGGACGACGGACAAGAAAAGATAAATATGTATAAAAACACAACAAAAAGAAGACTAAGATCTAGTTCTTTGAGTTCGAGTAAAGATGGTGAAACACAAGAAAATGCCAAGAAAATGAAAGTAGTGGCAAGTTGTAGTTACTCTGATCAGTCTTTAAGCCAGACAGAAACTGGTCAACCGTCTACTTTTAATAGTGACATCGCCATATATAAGAGGTATTCATCAGTAATGAGCAATACCTCATCGGAAGATATGACAGGGGGATCATTAATAGGGTCATTCTGGGATTTTGGTGGTCAGTATATTTTCTACTCGACACATCAACTTTTCCACTCAAGACAAGCAATTTATTTACTGGTCTTTGATCTGTCTTTGGGACTTGACACTATTATTAAAGATGAGGACTTTCCCAATAAGAAAAATAAGAAAACTTTGAAAGATTACATTAAATTTTGGGTTAATTCTGTCCACTGTTTTGTTGGGTCTAACGATGGTGAAGAACCCCATATTATTCTGGTGGGTACACATAAAGACAAATTAAATGTTGATGAAGATGTTGATGACTACTTTGAGGATGTGCGATGTATATTTGATGACAGCAAGCAGCTTAGGCATATATACTCGCAACATTTTGCAGTTTCAAACATTGGACCTGATACAAGTGATTTTTTAGATCTTAGAAAATCAATAACAAGATTGGGAAAACGTCTGTCAGAAGAAAGGGCACCTTTACCAGCAAGATGGATCCTTCTCGAAAAATCGTTGAAAGAAAAACAACATGAAAAAATTACATCATTTGATAATGTTCTGGCCATTAACAAAGAAATCCAGTATCCTTTGGCAGAACAAGATGAGGTCAAGTTGTTCTTGCAATTTCATCATGCAAGAGGGAGTCTGTTCCATTTTAATGACACAGAATTGTCCAGCTATGTTGTCTTAGATCCACAATATCTCATTGATGCATTTAAATGTATCATTACTTCAAAGAAGTTCTGTAGTACTCACACTCATTTGAGAAAACCATGGAGAAGGCTGTGTGATGATGCTATTCTTGAGAAAGCTCTTATTGAAGAACTGTGGAAAAGGAATCCTGAAACAAATTTTTTGCAACACAAAGATGTTTTATTAGGCTTTCTTCAATGCCATAGAATAATTGCCCAGGTGCAGAAATATAAAGGAACCAAAGGTTTTTCCAGCAGTCCTGAAGTCATGGATTGTTACTTTGTACCAAGTCTACTTAAGGTTAGCTCTTCATCCCAACTTGTGTCTAGTTTTATTAAAAATAATTCTATGACACAGGTGGCACTTGTATACGAGTTTGAAAATGACTGCATTGTGGAGACAATTTTTCAAAGATTCACTGCAGCGGCTCTTGGAAAATGGTCGCCTATTACATTTGAAAATCAAAGCTTGCTTTTTGAAAATTTGAGTGTATTTGAGATTCGACTTGATCATGCAGGAATGATAAATTTTAGAGAAGGTAAACTAGAACTTTTAGTTGTTAATCTGTGTCCCCCCGAGCAAGTTTCCAGCAAAGATTGTGACTTGTTCCGATGTTTCTTTGAAACAGTAGTATCTGTTGAGTTTCAAAAGTTATGTGCTGATGAATCAGGAAGTCAAGGTAAAAGAAAGTTTTTTACAAATTCAGTTAGGTGTTATAATAAAGATCATGAGCTTTTTGGCAGCAAAAAAGTATACAGAATAGCGAAAATTGAAGAGTTTGCCAAGTCATGTATACCTTGCCCAGACCGAAGGAGCCACACTTTCCAAGCTCGAGATGTTTTTGACACATGGTACAACAACTATGTAGAAATGGAAGCTGTTCCAAAAAGATTGCTTACTAATAAAGAATATGGTAAACTGGCAGCTGGAATCATTGGACGTGGGTGGGAACACCTAGCATATGAGCTAGGTTTATCAAAAGTTGAAGTTGAACATATAGATGATGACTTTCAGAGAAAATCAACAAAGATTTTAGAGGTGCTGACAAAATGGCGGCAAGAGCAGCTGGACAGGGCGACTCTTGATGTTTTGGTCTCAGCCATACGTAAAATACAAACACCAAACCTAACGATTGATGAAGATAAACTCAAAGCCATAATATATAACCTGGATTGACATTTTGGTTATTAACTGTGACAAAGTGTGAATTGGAGCAAGTTTCTACTTGGGTATGAAATTTCTTTTTGATATTTTATTTTCTTTGAAAATGAATTGCCAAAACAAAAATTAATTTCAAGATTTTACAATGTTCATTGTAAGGCTAATTTGGTTTGTACTTACTTTAATTATTTAGGTTACAAGTGTAGATAAAATACACAGGAATAAATTTTTGGCAGAAAATCAATGGAATAATTTGTTTTACAAATTGACTAAGGTTAGATTTGTTCTAGTTGAATATATTACAGTTTCACAAATGTCTTTAATGTTTTGAATTTTATGTCTTGAAAAATGTTTTTAGATGAATTTTGAAGCAATTATCTTAGCATGATTGAAAATTGTCCAATTGTTCAAAGTATTTTAACTGTGTTCTTGTATTTCATCTATGTGTTCAGTTTTGATCTATGTCATACCAAAGACCAATTTGAAAAATGGCACTGTTAGGGTTTTTTTTTAAGTAACTTTTGTTACTAGTCAGTCCCGTATTGTTGATCTCCTTTGTACACTAAAGACCATTTTAAAAATGGCACTGTTATGGATTTTTTAATAGTTTTAAAACTAGATAGTCCAGTATCAGTATAAATTGATGTGATATGAATTCATTGATCTCCTTCATACTAAAGACCATTTTAAAAATGGCACTGTTAGGGATTTCTGAATAGTTTAATTACTGGTCAGTCTGCTATCAGTAATAATTGATGGGATATGAATTCATTGATCTTCTTCATACTAAAGACCATTTTAAAAATGGCACTGTTATGTTTTTTTTTTTAATAATTTTAAAACTAGATAGTCCAGTATCAGTATAAATTGATCAGATACAAATTTATTGATCTTCTTCATACTAAAGACCATTTTAAAAATGGCACTGTTATGTTTTTTTTTTTAATAATTTTAAAACTAGATAGTCCAGTATCAGTATAAATTGATGGGATATAAATTCATTTATCTTCTTCATACGAAAGACCATTTTAAAAATGGCACTGTTATGTTTTTTTAATAATTTTAAAACTAGATAGTCCAGTATCAGTATAAATTGATGGGATATAAATTCATTGATCTTCTTTATACTAAAAACCATTTTAAAAATGGCACTGTTAGGGATTTTTTAATAGTTTTTTTGTGCCCCCACGATAGTGGCGGGCATTTAGATTTACCCTTGTCCGTCCGTCCGTCTGTCCGTCCACTTTTGTGTCGCACGTAACTCAAAAAGTATTTGACCTAGAGTCATGAAACTTTACAGGAATGTTGATCAGCATGTGTAGTTGTGCACCTGGGTATTTTCGTCTGGATATTTTTAGTATTTTCAGAGTTATTGCCCTTGACTTAGTAAAATTTTGCAATTTTCAACTTGTGTCGCATGTAACTCAAAAAGTATTTGACCTAGAGTCATGTAACTTTACAGGAATATTGATCAGCATGTGCAGTTGTGCACCAGGTATTTTTGTCTGGATTTATTTAGTATTTTTAGAGTTATTGCCCTTCACTTAGAAAATTTTTGCAATTTTCAACTTGTGTCGCAAGCTACTCAAAAAGGATTTGACATAGTCATTAAACCTTATGGGCAGGATGCTCAGCATATTTAGATTTGCACCTGGGGTTTCGCGTGTGGATTTATCCAGTATTTTTAGAGTTATTTCCCTTGACTTAGTGAAAAGATTGACAGAACAGTGGCGCGGTGGGGGCACCCGTGTCCTATGGACACATTTCTAGTTAATATTTTTATTACTTGTCAATCAGGTATTCAGTATAATATAACCGGACATGATATCGTGTTAAAGTGTCTACAAGTGATATTTCATATTTCATTCGGACATTGTTGTGCCCACATTCCCTTGTACATATTGATTTACATAAACAATAAGGAGTGTCTAATGATTGTAGGCAATCATCAAATGATGGTTTACAACTACATGTAGAGTTTCCTTTTACCTTGTATTATCACTTGTGTTCAGAATATCCATGACATGGATCAAGTTTGTTCAAAATTGTGTCAAATTTCATTATTACCATATATTCTTGTACAAATGTATATAGAAATTATTACTTTGAAATATTGCTGAACATTGTAAATGATAGCTGTTTCAGTTGATCAAAAACTTCCATGATTTATACTAAATGGATTTTAAACTTAATGTATTTTAATTGTTATCATTAAATTCAGTTTTGACAACAGAAATTTGCTACTATAAAGGATATTTCACTTATTTTGCGATTTTCTTTGGGTGATATGTAAGTGTGGTAGTTACATTGTCCAAATGACTGCAGGTTTGTTGAGATGTTTTTGTAATGTGTTCAGTATTTTCATATTTGATGCATGTTCAGTATATTTACTATGTGTTCAGTATTTTTTATCTGTGTTCAGTATTTAATTTGATCTATGTTATATCAAAGACCATTTTAAAAATGGCACATTGTTTGGTGTGTAGATAGTTTTGTTATTTGTTAATCCGGTATAAGTGTAATATGTCACTGAGATTATTATTTTACTGGTCAGTCCTGCCAGTGTTATGTGACCTGGTGAAGTATCCTGTTAATGTATCTATGACTGATATTTGATTACGACATTGTTATTCCTGCTCCTGCATCATGTAGATACCCTCACATGTAGTACCTGAATAAAGTTTTAATTTGATGCTTATATCAAACATGCAGTGTTCATTGTATAATGTACTTTTTTTAACCAAAGGCTGAAGTGTTCTTCAATATTTTATCCCCAGAAAGTTAATTGACCAGAAGGCATCATTAATACTTAAGAAGCAAACAATACTTAACAAGCAGCTGTCTCTAAAGATTGATTGTTCTTAAACATAAGAAGAGTTTTATGATCACCACCATGTGAAAGCATCTGTGGATGTTTATTATTTCTATATCATACATTGTTGTCTTGTTGGAATGGTTCTGAAAAGAGTTTCTAGTAAAGTGGGTCACAGGAATGGAGCATTGTGTAGTGCGCTTTGTCACTCACAAATAATTTCGGTCAAACTAAGTCTGCACCATTGTAAATTTTGTTGGATTTGACATTCTAGAATATCTCCATTTTTGGATTTTTGGAATAAAGAATTGTTGATTGGACCTTTACAAAAAGCTTTATAGGACATACATGTATACTTTGAAAATAAAATATTTGCCATTGGTTTTGTTAGTTTCCAAAAAAATCCCCGAAACTACAAAGCGTAAGGCTTACTTGTTGATTTTATTCTGCATTGTCAAAAGAAGACATATCATAACCTAGTGCTAGAAGTAGCCAAGAACATTTTAAATTTTAAAGATTTCCAGGTGAGCAATGTTTGCCCAATAAGCCGAGCAATATTATTGGTCCACTTAACTATAAAGTAAATAAATAGAGATACCTGTTGTATAAAAATATATCACATATCCTTCATTTGAATGATTATGAGCATTTTCTCATTAAACAATAAAGAAGTTGTATGATTTTAAGTCCTGCACCCTCCTACCTTGTGTCCGAGGGTTTGTGACATCAGAATCGCAGCCACCATTTATCCCTGCATGATCAGAGAGGCAACTAAATGGATTTGAATTATGTAGTATATGCATCTCTTAGCTGAAGCAGATGATGTGGTTTGAACCCCTTGTGTTGCTTTAGATTTGTAATATCCGAGGTTAACCAAAATCATCTTTCCAGTTTCAATGCCATATGACCTAAATTGTGTTTGTGTGTCATAAAACCAAGCAAATAAAAACCAAGCAAAACCTTTCAACTTTTCACATTCTTATTTCTTGTAACGAGTTCAAAGAATTAAAATAGGCAGGTTGTTTTGATTAATGATTTAATAACCAGTTGTTGAAAGAGCATTAAATGGTCACATGTCCTCTTTAGTAAAGTTTTTTTTTCTTCTTATAAAGCGAGATAAATTATGTGTTTATGATGACATTTTATATGAATTTTCCCGCTATTTAATGCATGTGTTACCTTGACAACAGCAGTTAGTGAATTTAACAGTCGTTTTCTTCTCTTTCTATTTGATTTGTCTTTTAAACGGGTCATGCAAACTTTGCCGTAATTATCCTTTCAATTGTAAACCTTTACATCTTTGTTGGTGCCTTTATCCCTTTACTCGTTACAGTTACTCGACCTCATCTATCTTGTACATTTCTTACATCTTTTATAAAATTTTCTTCTTGAAATTTAAAGGTTGTCATCACTGTTGGAATCATTATCACTTTTGCTTTCAGACAAATTTATTTATTTCTGTATTACAGTCCGTGGTTTGATAGGTCTTTGTTTGGTGTCATGTGCATGCTTGTTAGTTCAAATCTATGCAAAATTTACTTTCTTCCCTTTTAATAAATAAATTCAGTTCTTTCTCTGCCTTTTCACCTACATCACCATTCATTTGACTGAATGAAAAAATCCACTCTCCTTTACAATTGTGCGGATTTTTATATCGTTTTCTTCTAAAGATCTTTGCATCCGTTGCACTAAAAAGATATGCCACTGTGCTGTTCTGTTAAGTGAAAGTGGTCAGTATGCTCTAGTTGCTTATTTAAAATCAATTCTAACTATTGGTTGGTTTCGAATCTCACTAGAAGCATGAAATCTTATAAGTGAGGAAGCTATCGAGCTGTCTTTGAGAGGATCGGTAATTCTAATGACATGCCATCCTATGCCTTCTTCCAGTAGTCAAACCTCGAAAGTTGCCATATGACTGAAATATTGCTCTACCGTTATAATAAAAACACCCAGGCAAAAGAAATGATGAAAGAAAAATAAAGTAATAAAAACATTGTCATGGGTTTAAGACTTTTATTTAAACAAATGTGTACATGAAATAATGAATATTTCGTCTTCTTTAACTTACGGATTCCTCGTCTAAGTTGAAGGAGTTGAAGTTGTAACGAAGAGGAGTTGAAGTTGTAACGAAGAGAGTTTAGCTTGAATGCCTGCTGTCATCAAAGAAGGTACACTCGTTTCAAGGTCACTATTAAAACTGAAAACAGTTTTCCGGGATCATAACTTAAGTTCTATTTTGCTCACAATATTCAAAACTTCATAGGATGATAGTCCATATTGTGTAGAAAATCCCTATTGGTTTTGGGGTCACAAGGTCAAAGTCACTATTACCTTAAAATTGATAACAGTTTCAGGAACATAACTTAACGCCCATTTGGCCCATAGTGTTCAAACTTCATAGGATTATTGTCAATATTGGGTAAAAAGACCCCTATTGATACTTTTATATAATTCCCATGTCTTACTTATGCTTCATCCTTACTAAAAAACACTTTCGGGCATATAATGCTTTCGCCTAGAGGTGCCCCATGTAAATTATTTTACATAAACCTTCAGCCTCAAGCATTTCTGCTAGTATATGGCTTAAGTTTATCATGAGGTACAATTTTTGTTGGCATACGAGGCTTAGAAAAGTATCCGGAAATGTTTTCATAACTTTTTTAGCTCACCTGACCACTTCATAGAGTGACAGGGCTATGTCCAGCATTGTGCGTCGTCAACCCAATTTGGTTGTTAACACTCTAGCAGTCACAGTTTTGATTGGATCATCATTTAAACTCTATCAGAATGTTTGTCTCAATTAAATACAGGTCAAGTTCGAATATGGGTCATCTCGGGTCAAATACTAGGGTTTTGCTCATAAATAATGTTCCACCTTATATATTTTAATTATCACATGCAGTATTGCCAGTGCAGTCAGTGTCAGCTGCTGATATCTTCTCATGCTGAACAACATTTATAAACACTTTACAGATAACCCATGGTCTGCAGCCCAT